CCGCTTGAGCCACATCCCCAGCCTAGCTTATATTTTTTAAATGACTAATGACTTGTCATTCCTATAATTTCTATGGTAAAGTGACTAATTGAGATCTTTGCCTGTTTCTTAACTGGGTTGTTTGCTTTATTGTTGTCGAGTTTTGAATATTATTCATATCTTATGGATACAGACCTTTAATTAGATAAATGATTAGCAAATACATTTTCTTTATCTATGGCTTGTCTTAGTGCCATTCATAGTACCTTTCAAAGAACAGGTTTGAATTTTGATACAGCCTCTTTATTAATTCAATCCTTTAGGATTATGATTTTGGTATTTTATATAAGAAATTTTTAATTAATTCAATGCCAAAAATTTTTTCAATATTTTTATCTAGAAGTTTCATAGCTTTAGATTTTTCATTTAGGTTCATGATTAATTTGAAATTAATTTTTGTATCTGATGTGAGGTATTGATCAAAGTTATTTCTCTTCCTCTTCCACCTTTTTTGAATATAGATATCCCTTTATCTTGGGACAATTTATTACAAAGATTATCCACTCTCCATAGAGGTACTTTTTCTAACTTTGTAAAAATATCTATTGTCCATATATGTATTTGTCTGTTTCTGGATTCTATTCTGTTTCATTCATCTCTTTTTCATTTTTACACAAATACCTCATGGGCCTTATTATTATAGTTTTATGATGTGTCTTAAATAAGGTGGTATTATTCCTCAAATATATTATTCCATTTCAAAGTTTTTTTGGCTATTCTAGATCCTTTGTATTTCCATATGCATTTCAAAATCATATTGTCAATTTATATAAAAAGTCTGCTGGGATTTGGATTTGCATTGCATTGACTCTATAGATGAATTTCAGTAATGTTGACATTTTAGCATTATTAGGTCTTCAATCTGTGAGCACAGTATCTCTCATTGTAGTTGTAATAATTTCTATCGAAATATTTTGTAGTTTTCAGTGCATAGATCCTAAGCATCTTTTAGCAAATATATTCCCTAAGTATTTCTATTTTTGATGTATTGTAAATCGTATTTT